ATAAACTTAGTAATATATAGTTTCTCATGTATGCACAAAGGATATGGATTATTTAATGACCTACATATTTTAGCTTTTCTTATTAACTTCCATTTTACTGTAGGTGTTTTATTTGATTCTTTTAGGTGCCAGAAGTACTTCGGGAGAGATGTTTGATTTTTATATTTATTTATCCTAAATGAACTTTGATGTTGGTTGAATCTTTTTTTGAACTCATGGCTAGTGCAGCCTATATATATTTTTATGTTTTCAGGATTTTCAATTGAAGAGATATTGCATTGGTATACTAATGATTCTGGGCAACATTTATTTTGTTGAGGGCAATTATGAGGGTTTCTACAGATACATAATTTTTGTTTATCCTCATCAGTTTTTATTTTTATTTTTCCATTGTCTAAATTTTTTTGGTTCTGGTATAAGTTTTTATTTAGGATATTAGCATTATGTTTCTTAATAATTTTTTCTAAGTTTTCTGTACAGCTGTAACTCAATTTTAGTGTGTTTTTATTGAAAATAGTACTTAGTTTACTTTCACTAGGAAAATGCTTGACTATTAATGCAAGGAATTTTTGTCCTAATTTGTTTTTTACCATTTGGTTGTATGGGGGCGTATACCAAATTATTTTTCTACTTCTGTTTTTTCTATGCATTCCGTTTTCATTTTTTATATAAGTTAGTTTTGGGTTTTTGTAGCCACTATCTTTTAGAGCCTTATTATAGGAATTGATATGCTCATTGAAAATATTGTCATTTGCTGATTTTGTACTTATTCTTTTTTGGATAGATAATGGTATATGCTTAATTATAGATGGGGGGGTGATTTGATTTAGAGTGTATATATAAAGGATTGGTATTGGGTTTTTTATAAGGTGTGTATGTATTTTTATTTAAATCTAATATTATATCAAGGAAGTTCACTTTTTTTAATTTAGTGCTAACCGGAATTTTTAAGCCAAAAAATAATATTTAAGTATAAATTTTTTAAAAAATTGTGACCTAGTAATATACATACATATACTTGATGTGAAAATAATTTTACATACTGTAAGTGATTCTAATACATTTACTTGTTTTAAAAAGAAATATAGTTTATTAAAAATTAAAAGTGAAAATATTTTTAAAATCGTAGTTAAATAAAACATATTCTAACCTAAACACCCACCAAAAATCTTTAAGTATACAAATAGAAAAAAATAGCGTAAAAATCCAGACGACGTGCATTTAACGGATGTCAGAATTCATTGAAAAATACATCCCTACCGCTACCAAAACATAACTAATAACTGATACAACAAAATACAGCGATAATGAACATGCAACCACCCCTTGTCTGGATGAATGGATTTTTCTGTATCCTTGTAAAACATGAATTATGATTTTTTGCTGTGTCTTTAAAACCCAATAATTTTAAAAATAATTACTCCACAATTCGCTTTAAGATAAAATGGAACTAATGTCTTTAATTTAATTACATAATTAAATTCGAAGCTTTTTGCTTCCATTTTTGAAACATGGTTAGAACTGTGTAGTGAAAAAAAAATATTTTAAATCAATTAATTTATAATATATATATATATATATATATATATATATATATATATATATATACTTTGGTGTAAGAAAAACAGTGCCCAGTGCTAAATAACAGAGCAATTAAGTATATATCAATAAATATACATAATACCTAATGCCAACCTGGGGTATTATGTATATTTATTAATATATATATATATAGACACACACACACTATATATATATATATATATATATATATATATATATATATATATAATATATATATAAATGAGAGTAACAAGCTATCTCTGATGGTGATATATATATATATATATATATACACAGTATTATACATAAACACATAAATGAGTACACTCCAGCCACTTTTGGAATAATTAAATTTCTTCCAAAACAAACATAACACAATGGTATTAGCTTCATTAGCCAACATCAATTATGAAATCAACACACAAAGAGGCTTGTTGAAAGTTTGTGCAGGGAATAAAGATCAAGATTCAATGTTTTGGTATAATATATTGGACTCAGATGAAACAAAAATCAACTTATTTGTATCTGATGGCATTTAATATCTATATACCATACAAGGAAACGTTTTTGATATCAACAGTTAAACATAGTTGTGAAGAATTATGCTCTGGAGTAGCACATGTTCCAATATTATTGCTGAGATATTTTGTTAAGAGATTCATAAATGCTGATGGATATTATAATAGAAAAAAAAATATATTGTCTTCACTCAGAGTTGCTGAAGAAGGGTATGGTAAAAGTTATCAATTGGCTGAGGAGGTCACCAAATCTAAATCTAACTGAACCTTTGTGGAATGAATCAAAACAAAAGATAAAAGTATGATGACTGTCCAACAAGAGCCATTCAAAAAACTAAAAAAAATATTTCAGTGACTGAAAATCTTGTGAAATCAATGTCATCAAGACAACAAGAAATAATAAAAAGTAAAGGTGGTTACAGTAAATATTGATTTAAAATAATTTTTTTTCACAAATAAACTCATTTGCAGATGATAGTATATTTATGTTTTTGGCAATCAAATTTCACTGCCAAAGAATTTTGTCATAATTATTTGTCATAATGTTTTGATTTTTTTCACCTGGTACAAGACCTGGGTGCCAATCAAAGTAGAGTGTTACAGAGTAAGAAGCACATTTTATGTGAAAAGGTGGTGAAGATGACTTGAGCATGTTAAGATTGTAGTGATCATGGAGTTGGTTCCACAGAGCAGTAATTTGTGGGGAGAAGCTGCTTGAGTGGAACTTACTTCTCCCCAGTGGAATACAGAGGGAATGAGGGTCATTTGCTACAATATGAGTGGCATGGCAGGTCAAGAACCTGTGGAGGTTAGAACTGGCAGAAGCAAGGAACTTTCTATGGAATTAGTGATAGAGCAGTAAGAGACTTGCTACATCCCATTAGTGAGAGAGGAGTTGAAGAGGTTACTTCCAAGGGGACATCTATGGGAAAATGGCCTAATGGATGAAAGCATTGGTTTGTGAATTTAGTGACATAGTGATTGTGACTTTAGTACCTGTTTTGGGTAGTGTGTTCTTGCATTCAGGGGAAATGGGTGAGCAATAACTGTGTAGTATTAAATAAAAACAAGAACTAGATGATATCCCTAGACATAAGCAGGGGAAGAAAAACAAGAAAAATACTTCAAAGATGGAATGAATATATTGGAGATCTATTCTATGAGAAAAGAGAGAAACTTGCAGTAAACAAAAATATGGAAGGACCTAAAATATTAAAGTTTGAAGATCAATACTGGGCAGAACAAGATAAGATTGTATTAGAGATGCTAGCAGCTCTAGATGATTCCAGAATTGACAAGATCATGTAAATAATAAATGAAATATACAACTGTGGCAACTTAGTGGAAGACCTTAGTAGATCCATTTTATAGCACAGCTTAAGAAATCAGGTGTAAATGAATTCAAGCTCCATCAAACAATCAACTTAAAGCGCCACATAATGAAGCTTATCATCTGGATTCTGATGAATAGAGTGTGTAGCAGAATTAGACTTAGAAATAGGACAAGAATAATGCAATTTTATTAAAGATATTAGAACAAGAAATACAATATATATGATCAAAATAATATCAGAAAAAGCAATGCAAATGTGGAAGGACATATTCCTATCTTTTATAGAGTATGCAAAAGCATTTGATAAAGTATGACACAAAGATCTGTCTGAATTGCAAGGAAAACTTTGTTTGTGAAAGATATTAGAATAATCCAAAACTTATATTGGGAGCATGTGGATAGAAAATGAATTGAGTAAGTATGCAAAAATAGAAAGAGGCATAAGGTAAGAATGTGTTTTTTCACCAGATTTATTTACCCTATACAGTGAGGCAATCAGGAGAGAACTAGGAGTCTTACCAGAATTTATTATTGGTGGGTATAATATGACACTGTGTTGATAGCAGGAACTCAAACAAGGTAGTGAAGGAATGTGAGGGGAAAGGACTAACCATCAATTGTAAGAGAACAATATATGCCTGTCAGCAAGAGGAACAGCCTAAGAGGCAAACTATAAACTGGAGATGTCAGACTCAAGCAGCTACAGAAGTTGAAATATTTGGAAAATATTTTAACAGAGAAGGGAAAATTTAATACTGAAACTGAAGGTGCATTAAAATAGCTGTCTTTCAAAAGCTAAGCAAAGTTTTAAGAAACAGGAAAATTCCATTGTAAACAAAGAAAGGAGCACTGAACTTCTATATAATATCAATCCTCCTATATGATAATGACTACTGGACAATTTCTTCACAGATAAAGAGGAGACTTGAGGCAACTGAAATGTGGTTCTATAGAAAGGTGCTGAGAATACAGTAGCTGCTGCATGTGGGCAACAAGGAAGTTTCAATGCAAATAGTAACAAAGGATATTTCTACTTTGAATCAGAAAGAGACTAGTAATTTCTAGGGCACATAATGAGGAAAGAGGGTTTGGAAATATTGACATTAAGACATATTGAAAGCAAGGAAAAATACAAAGTAATCTACCTAACAAGCTTGTGTAAATGCATGGCATAACATCAAGCTAAACATGTATGTATGTAGGTAAACATGTATCTATGTATGTATGTATGTAAAAAAAATTAAAATGTGAATATTCATCAATTGATAATTCCTCCCACCAAAAAAAAAGCAGCTAAGCTAAATATATTTTATAAAATGAAAACTCTTACATTTAATCTTTTGAGTAAGGAGATAGGACAAAATTTCAATTCAGTTTTTTTGATGCTATTTGTTTACTTGAAGAGAAAAATATTCAAAGTTAGTATAATTAGCAGTTTCATTAGTTCAATGAGAAAAATTAATTTTTATAACTCCCATTTATAGAAATCTTTGCCAATATTAGTAGTTATTAGTATATAGAAATGTAAAAATTAGTGGAACTAAAGATATTTCATGGTTAACAATAGTAACCATGTTCATTCTCACCTTACGTACAACATAAAGTTGTAACAACAGTTTGGAAAGCATTATGAATGAAAGAACAACTTGTACTATCCATAATCCAAAGGGACGATGCACCCAGGCAAGAACATACCTGCATGAATAATAAAATATAGACACACATGCATACAAAAAGCAATATACTAAAATATACAAGCTTTTAGCAGACAGATCAGATTGACAAAAAAAGAAACTATCAAAATGACATTTCTCTCTTTCAATGAAACTGATTTAAGAAAGAAAAATTCATTTATGTAAAAAAAGTTAATGTGTGTGTTAATTCCACTAGAGTTATCATAATCATATAATATTAATATTTGTTACTATGGTAACCTCTTTACAGACAAAAAAATGATATAATTGTTTGCAAATGATTGCTTAATGCATTGTTAGTCTGGATCTAAGGAACTTCTTGTGCTTTTTTTAATCAGAAAATGAAAGGTAAATTGATGGGTAATGATTAACATGTATCTCTTGCAAGCCATTTGATCTGTGTTAATGACTTAAAATTTACCAGTATTAGTTCAACCAATGTAAATATATAAAAATGCTCTATCTATGCATATTGAATGATGAATTTAAATACCAAATACAAATTATTTGGAAGACAGTTTGCTCTTTAATGAGAAAACTATTTGCTTTACAACAAACTTGGTAAATTTTCTGATGCAACTAATGTACTTGACTAAGTAAACCTTTGTGCTTTTTAAGAAAGTAACTAAATTTTACACTATAAAAAATATAATATATTAAAAAATATAAGAATATTCACATTTTTTTTTTTAGAAATATGTATTAAAGGTGTTTTCTGTTTTCACATTAAATTTGTTTTAGCTTGAATGATATGCATTTAATATCATAAGGAATTAGATGTATATTTATATAAATAAATATAATATATAAATAACACTGCTTATGACCTTACTTTGTATTGACATAGCATTTATATAGCAATTGAATTCAAGAAATTGTTTTAGGTATACAGCTGTAAGAAAAACCAGAGTAGATTTCATGCTAAATAGTTAGCAAATTGTTATTGCATGAGATTTAGTTATACAAAATAAGATTTCATAATCTTTAATAATATTTTTGATGGAAAATTTCATTAGTGCAGATTATGGAAATGAAAAACTATTAAAAACGATTTTAATTTGCTTTGAAAATGTTACTATATATATATATCCAGATGAGATGAGAACGAATAGAGTACAATTTCAACATTTGTACATTTAATTTAAAAGAGGGCTCAATACAGAGTAGAGTAGCATTATTTATTTTAGGATATTAAAACAACATGTAAAAATCGCTACACAATTGCAGTTGTGTTTCAACACATATCAATGTATCTCCTCAGGTGATTGTAAATTACTGGTGAGTGAACAATTAATTTGGTTTAAAAAGTAAAATACATCCTCTTTTTTCAAAAAAAAAAAAAAAGAGAAAAAAAGATTATAAGTTTTGGGAGTTTTACCCTGACAAACCAATTGCATATGACCTACTGTAAGAGAAGAAGAAAAAATTAAAAGTTTCTTATGGGTCAGAAGCAGCCAGACATTAAATTAAAGACGTATACACTTTGTAACCATCTGTATCAATGTCAGACAGTCAACTTTCCCAAAAAATAAAAGTGGAGGGGTAGAGAGGTAATTTAACCTAATGCAAACTTTTTGTATGCTTTGTGGATTTCCTACATAAATTTTTTTTGCAGTTGATAAATATCAGACTCTTTAAGAAACTAACAAATAATTCAAACATATAAAATTATTTAGTAAATTAATATGCAACTGTTAAATAAAGATCATACATATAAGATGTTAAAAATACCAACCAATCAATGTAAGATGTCAAAAATACAAACCAACCCCCCAATACATCCATAAAAGATGTTACTAATACTAACAAGACTATCTAAATCGAAAAATAACCCATATATGGTGCAACACAGTTCAACATAATAATATATATTTCAATATAAGAAAGATTATCAAATTACAAAGTTTAACTAAATTGTAAGGTAAAAGGTAGACTATCTCAAGGAAATAGGTTAATATCTCTAGGTTCATATAAAGATCTACAGGAAACATGGTAATTGCCAAAAAAGACAAGCAAAGAAGATCTCTAGGAAGCAATAAAATTACTGCTTGTAATGTTAAAAAATGATGCAGTAGGAATTAATTTTTGGAAAACTGATGAAAGTTTATAAAATGTCAAGGAGTGTATTATTTTTTTAATTTTTTTTTTTTCAGTGAGGTTCACCCTGTACAGGGCCTGGGTGTCCCTTGAGGTAGAGGTTTAGAGAGTAAGAAGCACAGTTTATGGGGATATGAAGAAAAGATAACAGTTAACACTAGACTTGAACAGATTAAGATTATAGTGATCAGGGAAACATCCTCTTGGGAGTTGGTTCCACAGAGCAGTGGTTTGCGGGAAGAAGCTGCTCTAGTAGAGTTTACTTCTCACCAATGAAATAGGAAGAGAATGATGGTAGTTTGCCACAATGTGAGTGGCATGATGGGTCCTAGCTGTAAAGGTAATACTTGGCGGAACTAAAGAATGTAATTCTTCTGAACACTCTCCATGGAATTAGTGATAGAGCAAAGAGAGGCTTGCAACATTTCGTCTGTGAGAAAGGGGTTTGAGGGTGGAAAATGATTTGTTACCCACAAGGACACAGATTCTATCAAGACTGAAAAATGAGGCCTGGGCAGCTCCTACCTAAATATGACAGCAGTATTCAATTTTAGGCCTGATCTGGCTCTTTTAAAGATAAAGGATAGCAAGAGGAGTCAGGTACTTATTACAGCATTACAGGGAGCCAACCATTTTTCTTGCATCTTTAGCAATGAATCATATGTAGGAGTTCCACTTGAGATGTGGAGTGTGTTTAAGATACAATTGTCACTCAAGTCATGGATCTCTCCAAGAGAACATCTATTCATCATGACTGATGATAGTTTGGGGTCCAATCAGTGATGATGGAATGTAACTAGTTTGGTTTTTGAGGCATTAAATGTAACCAATCAGTTTTTCCTCCACTGAGATATTAGAGCTAGATCAGATAAGAGAGCAACTACCAATCGCTGGTCATCATGAATTTTGGTGATGCACCAATATATCATTGTATCATCAGCATAGATATTTACAAATGATCTGAGTATATTCTTAGGCAGAAAATTTATGTAAAGTAAAAAGAGGTTTGGTCTGAGAAGTGACCCTTGCATTGATTGCTAGGGCCCTGGAGGACTGGCTGTTAGCAACTACCTTCAGAGACCTACCCATGAGGAAGGGCTTTATTATTGAGAAAACTCTTCCAATGATTACATAGATAGACATCTTGAGCAGTAATTCTTTGTGCCACACCTTGTAAAAGGCCTTCTTATCTAGGGGTTCAACAATCATTTTGTTGATTATAATCACAAAAAGCTTGCTAATGAAACTTAAGAGACTATTAGGTCTATTCTGAGGGGGATGAATACTTGCACATTTTCTTGAAAACTGAGCATATGCTTGACACTTTCCACAGGCTTGGGAAGGATTCTCCTTCAAACAGCAATTATATAACTTTGCTAAGATTGGGGATAGTTCTGGATTGATATTCTTAAGGACAACCATTTGAATATTGTCTAGGCTAGTGGCTTTCTCAGGATTAAGGCTTTTGATAACACTTCTTGGGCTGTAATGAAAATATTACTGAGATTGTGTTCAGTGAGACATGGGAAGTTGGGAAGAAGATGACCTTTGTCATCTAATGTTGAATTTGAGGCAAAGATCAAGGCTAAGAGCTTTGCATCTGTCAAAGAAGATATGACCTTGGGGCCATTTGTAATAGTGAGCACAGCCACTTTACCTCTATTCATAATTTGGTTGGTGATCTTCCAGAACTCTTGGGATCTAATTTGTATTTTTTTGTAGCTATTGTGAGTGGTTCTGAATGGAGTAAGAATCAAACTACACCACTCTTTGCAATAGATATTGAATTAGTGGTTATGGTGATCTATGGCTGCAGTGTATCCAGGGGTGAACAAGGGCTCTGCAATATCTGCCTCCTTGATTTATTTTGTGTGAGTGGACTAATCACTCTGTGGTGGATATTGAAGTCACTACAGATATGAAAGCTAGCTGAGGGAAATTCAATGAGTATATTATCAATCCTCTCAAAAATGTGATTGAAAATTAGTGTCCCATCATTCTGAAAACAAGTGCCACATGATTAATATATAAAATTATAAAATAATTTATGCAAGTTATCAATATTTATCATAAGTATAGACACTATCAGCTGAAACTCCCATAATATATTGATATAATTATATCTTGAAAATTTTACTAATATTGCTTAGTTATTATGTGAAAAATATGTCAGCTTGCAGAAGAGATGGTAACTTAGATTAAAACACAAGCACCACTTTGCTAAAAATTGTAATAGTCAAAATTAGAATTAAAATTTAACTAACCAGTTGACAGGAGATGAATATGACTGATTTACATTTCCAGTATCTGATGCACATGGGTATCCATTGCTGTAAAAGGAAAAATATATCTTATTTTAAATAAATAAGCTAAAATCTTATGTGATTTAAAGACATCAAAGAAGAATCCTATACAAAAAAAAAAAAAGAAATATTTATTTTACTGGGAAACTAACATATAGCCTATTTGACGTAATGATGGTAGCAAGTAATATCATTTCCTTTTTCAATTTTCTTTCTGCTTACCTCTTTTTTAAAAAATCTTTTTCTCTCATTATGTATTTTTATTTTTTATCCATCTGCTATGTTTATGCTCTTTATAAATATAAGTATAACCGAATTGTAATGGTTTGAAAAAAAATCAATTTTACAAATATTTTATAAGTTGGCAGTTGTTTGTAAAAAAAAAATGTCCCAATGTTTGTTTAGTGAATTTACAAAATATGCAAATAGACATATTGGATGTGAACTGAACTGGCCAATTAGATTTTCACCAGTAGACTAATGCTGAAAACTAATAGATTAAAAACTTTGGAATTACAAAACCCAATCTATGCAAATGTCAATTTAATAATTATTAATAATTACCAAAGAGAATTTAACAAATTTTGCCTAACAGCTGCAGTTTTTGATAGAATAATGAAAATAACTTGCAGATATTTTGGCTAGCTTCTATGAGAAATTTAAATCTATAATTCTTTATATCCCAATAATAAAGCAGTACACTTACCAGTTATACTCTGTTTGATCATCAATCAGCACACGAATGACATAGAGTAGGCATGCTAGAAGTCGAATGATCAAATCAAAAATAATAGCCACTCTACCTGAAGAATGTAAAAGTAATATTCATTGCAGTTGAATGAAAAAGATATGTTCACTGAACAAAGATTTTTAATTTATTTTTGTATTCATATTCTGAAAGGATAAAATACTCTTTGGCAAACTGGTATTGAAAATGTTACTGAATTCAGAAAATTAAGGGCATATATTAAATGAATCTTCATTTGATATGAGAGGACATTGAAAAATTCTCAGCCTAACCCACTTCTCAAAATTAGTATTCTGATATTTGGTCATAGAAATACTGATTTTACGAAGTGGTTTAGGCCAAAATCTTTTCTGTATCTCTTTGTACATATTTCACTACATACCTTCAAATATATATTTAACAATGTTAATTAAAAAACTTAAATCTAAACATTTTAAAAAGATACTTTTGTTCATTCTTTTTAAATTTTGAGCATTAATTTAACAAGCTAATATATGAAATACATTACTTGATTTTTGCCTGATGCAAAGTAAATATTTTATATTTTTTTCTCTGATATGATAAGAGCAGTGATGAAATGTCTGTAATATCAAGGTACAGAAGGTGACAAATCATTGCATATTTGCCCCATTAATGAAGATATGCTCACAGGATCTGATACTTAATATAATTAGTTTGTAGAAGAGAATTAACTTGCAAAAAGAAATGTCACTGTCATTAAGAAGGACAATAAAAATGAAAATATTGTTCATGATTGAGTAATGATTCCATGAAATTAAAGATTATTTCCTTAAATCATATTACAAGATATCTTTTAATGACAAATAAATTTGATATTTAGATATTCAGGCAGCTGACAGCAATCTGCCAGATTTGATAGAAACAACATCAGTATAAAAATGTCAGATTTCATCTGGTTTCTGCAGAAGGTCATCTGCTGATCAAACAATTTGACTGAAAGAAGAAACTGTCATCCCTTGTACAACTTCTCATTCTCTTTAAACAAAATACAGTCAACAATCAAAAATTAAAGAGGTTGTATTTTAATAGTCCTTCTATGAAGATGAGAATCACAAGCCTGAAAAGTAGTATGAAAATGATAGAGTTTATTATATTGATGATTTCCTAATAATTCAAATGAAGTAATAGCTTATGAATTGATGATGTGTATAAAATTTGTTCTTATTGGTGTGCTGTTAAAAGCCCATTCCCTGTTAAAACAGCAGACTCAAAATAAATTAAGTGACAATGAAAATTTATTTGGATAAATTTTCAAAAGCTGCACAAAACCAAAAAATGGTTGCAGGTAGAAAATAGTGCTGATCTTCTGCTGTGTTGCTCTCATTTCACTCATGACTAATTTACATGGCAGCATATTGTATCTCACCCTTCATTATCTATGCCTTCAGTTCATGGGCAATGTCACATTTGTTTTAAGAGGCCTTTAATATTACCCATGATGAATGACATATTTATAATAAATGACATATAGACACTGGAAATGTTGATGAAAGGAAAAAACAAAAAGTATGTTAGTATGGATTTCACCTTTCTCAGTGTATGATAAAAACAAATGCTTTTTCTTTTAATATAATAGATCAGAAACAAGAGATGCATTGGCCGAGAAAGAGGTGGGGATTTAGGAATAAAACACAAATACAAGATTGGAGTAGAAACATCTTTTCATGATAAACAGACATGCACATGAAGACTGAGGTGAATAACTGAATTGGGTAAGAGACTGTGAAAAAAATTGAGGGGACAATTTTTACACAAGAGAACATGATGGCTTTCTTAATCAAGGCAGAATTCTGGCAAGAATTTTACCTCCTCTCACATGGGAGCACTAGAAAAAGCCAGTTGATTCTAGACTCTTTCACACCAGGATTATCTTTTTCATTCACCATTGGGCAAAATCTTTGGGAAAAGGTTTAATTCTCATAAATTCCATTAATTTGTATTTTCCACATCACTATTCTAGCTGGAGCCAATAACATAAGAAACACCAACTATCTTATTCAAGACTACAAAAATGACACATTTTGCTGCACATATGACACTTTAACAAGTGTAATTTCAAAGTGAGTGAACCCCACAGTTTAGTTTTGCACATCATCTGGAGTGGTTGAATTGTCAAGAGGGGCCAAATGATGAGTAACAATGGTAGTTTCTCTACCATCTGGTAAAAGGACAGGGGGACACATACTACTCATGAATGGTGTTTGTGGCTGGGTGGGGAGATCCTGAGAGGGTGGGTTACAGTAGTGCTTTGTGGTTGTTCACCATTTTATCAACATTTACATTTTTCTATCCATCTACAATTTTGCATTGTCAATCATCAACAATGATAATATACAGGGTGCGTCTAAATTATGCAAAAATGAAAATAACACTGACATCTCATTTTAATAGATATATTTACCAAAATTACACAGAAATATCTTGAAATAGTAGTGTAAATTTATTCAATATAATCGTCATTGGCTTCAACCATGGCCTCTAAATGACTTTGGAATCCCCAGCAAATCTTTTGGATGGTCTCCTTATTTAAGTTGGTGAATGCTGCCATAATCCTTATTGTCTGTTCATCTTTGGTGTTACAAGGAGTTTTGTTGGTATCTTGCTCAACTGTGCCACACAAGTGGGTGGTAGTCTGAAGCGTTAGGTGGCCAGATGTAAGGGGTGATGGGGTCACAGAAATTGTCTGACAGCCAGGACTGGGTTCTTCTGCTTGTGTGGCATGGTGCAAAGTCCTGTTGCAAGACATAGGGTTTTTCAGCAGCCACTGTCTTGACCTAGAGCAGCACTACCTCCTCAAGGCATGATGTAGGCCTCTGTGTTTAGTCTGAGTCCCTTACCAACAAATTCGGGTGTCCTTTTCTTATCAAAACAGTCAGAATGAGTTTTCCCAGCTACTATACATTCGTATTCACCATTAGACTCATCCAAATCTTTCTGAATCCTCTGCATTGACACCCAAATATTCTGAAATGTTCATACTGGAGCTTCCATTCTGAATGCCAAACAGTACATCATGCCATTTCCAAATTTCTGGTGGAGGGAATTGTATCATGGTACTCTTTTTCTCACAGACGGTGATCATACTATACTGTACAGCTGACAAAATCAAAAACAAACAACGTGCATTCGCAAAATTAAAAATATAAAATGGCGACAATTTACCCATCGAACACTGTACATTGTATATCTGTTTATATATACTTATTTTTTGTGTGTACTGTTTTTAATGAACATTGAGAACACATGTTTCTTAATGCAGGTTTGTTAACAATGTAAATTTTTCTTTTCCAGCTGATTTTATAATTCACATTAAATTATCTAACAGATTTTAATAAAGTTTTTGCAACTTATACGTGATACTTTTAATTGAGATTTTTAAAGTGATATGTTTTTTTTATTTTGATCTTTTGACTAACACCTTAAGGAATGTTTTTTTATTTTGATCTTTTGACTAAAACCTTAAGGAATGTTTTTTTTATTTTGATCTTTTGACTCACACTCTAAGGAATGTTTTTTTTATTTTGATCTTTTGACTAACACTCTAAGGAATGTTTTTTTATTTTGATCTTTTGACTAACACTCTAAGGAATGTTTTTTTATTTTGATCTTTTGAACACAGAGCGTATTTTTCTTGCAAACATTAACTCTGCTGGCGATAACCCTGACATCATATTAGGGTTTTGGCGTGATTCTATATACTGCCAAAAATTTCTGAATACTTCTTTCATTCGTATTCACGCCTTGGTTTTTCTTCAACGCTTGTTTAAAGGTGTCCACGAATTTTTTCGCCTGCCCATTCGATCTTGGATGATATACTGGCATCTGCTGCTACAATGATTTTCCTCTTCAGGTTGAAATGCGCTAATGATAGGTCTGCTAATAGACAGCTATACGGTTTTTCTTTTTTATATATACAGTTGGAGACGCCCAATCTGAGTAATCAACTTTTGAAATTACGCCACTTTTCTCCAACCTTTTTAATTCCTCATTTATTGTGTTTAGTGCCGAAAATGGTGCTTTTCTCTTTGGTTTAAAAATTGGTTTAACATTTTCTTTCAATTCGAAGTTGACTTCTGTTTTTGTGCACAGACCTAGTCCTTCTCAAAAGACGCGAGGGAATTCGCCTTTCAAATCCGTAATAAATCTTTCTGTTTGCTTCGTCTTATAGTTTTCTATGACGTTAACTTCGTTACAGAAAGAATTTACCGGTAATTCCCATAAATTAAACAATACGATCCAGTCTAAACCAAAGAGGTTTACTGAATCAGGGAGCATATACACTTTCGATTTGTGAATTTTTCCCATGAACAAAATGTTACATTTTAATTCACCTCTAAACTTAGGTCTTTTTCCTGACACTCCCCTGGCAATTTTGTCTGTGTTAGTCAACGGTGGGTAACCGATTTTTTTTCCCATGTTTGCTCGTTTATTACCGAGATATCACTTCCTGAATCGAGTAATAATTTTACGGTCTTCCCATTTATTTTTACATTGAGGTATTTTCTTCTTTGACCCTCCTCAATTTCGTTTTTAGACAAAACTACGTTCACCTTTGTTTGCGACTTTGCTTTTACTTTTCTTTGTTTTGCCCGACAATGGAAACTTCTATGGCCTACATGCCCACAATTAAAACATGTTTTATCCCTAAAGAAATAATCCTTCTTTATATGCTGTCCTCTACACGAACTGCATATAATTTTTCTTTCTTTATTTTGTATCCACTTCTGTTGTCTTACAGTTTGTACTCACAAAATGCTTTTCTCAATCCAAGTATTATTTTTTTTATGTTTATAAGTCGCTGACATTCTTCCGTTATTTTCTGTAGCGTAATCTTCGCATCATGTGCCATGATAGTGAGGATTCTTGATCTAATTTCTTTGTCCTTCAGTGTCGTTGTCGTTAGACCCTGCACAAAAATTAGACACTTGAACATGTCGCTTGACAATTCCTTTAATTTAAACGCCTCACATTGTGCGTTAACCATACCTGCATACGTGACAAAATCACCATTCTCTTGTTTTACGATATTTAGAC